ATGGTATCTGTCTGTGGCCTGGCCTGTAGGAGGATGGCAGCTCTACCCCCACGGTCTTGCTCCGGAGTCATGGACCAGTCTGGTTCACTGTCCCTGCACCAGTGGTTTGACCAAGCCCATGCCCTACTAGGAATTGTGTCTGTTGCTTTCACAGATCTTGTCATTGTCTGAGGCATAACCAGGCCCCCTGCCTGGGTCTTAGATTTCCTGACCAATAAGCTCAGCTCAGAGAGTGAATGGGGAGAATTAAAGTGAGATCTAATCCATGAAAAAAGAGATTTGTAAGGAGAGGGTCCTAGGAAGGTGGGGTCTTCAGGTTCAGTTACTGGGTCCTGTGAAGCCAAGGAGATGGGGGTAGGGGAGAGGGATAGTGGAAGGAGGGAGAGAGGGAGAGTGAGAGTGAGAGCAAGTGAGAGAGATTGAGAGAGGTAGATAGATAGATAGATAGAGAGAGAGAATTCTCAAAGCTTTCAGTGGCAGATGTGTAGAGCCATGTTGCCTGGATCTGGGTGAAATACCCCTGGCTGCCTTGGTCCCTCAGCCCTGGCCTGCTGACCCTCTCTGAAATGAGAAGAAGGGGAAGGCAAACAGTTTTCAAGAGTTTTTAAACAAAAAAGATCTCCCAAGGCATGAGTAACAGGCTTCTGAGAAGGTTCCTGGGTCCCTGATCCTGTTAAATTCTATGAACGAACTAAGCAACTGAAAGTATCAATCCACATGGATCCAACCACTCCAGGAGCTTATGTCCTTCTCACCTCAAGTTCAAATGGCTCTCATGCCGTATAGCTACCCGAGCCCCTTGCCTTTGGTTGTGTACCTACCTATAGTGGTCACAGAAGAGCAGGGTGATCTTTCCAATGCTGATAGCAAACTCTTCAGATGCTCAATGCTTTCATAGTTATTGCCACACTTCCCTGAGACCTATCCTTAGGAAATAACTTGATAAACTTATTCACTTCCAGGTGGTAGTAACCAATAAGAGCCGCCATGTCCACCCCCATGGAAGATTTAAGCTGATGACTGGGTACTTTAGTGCTAGCTATTAATTCCTAACTTGTGGTTGACTAACCCACACCTTCTTTCCTGAGCCCTGCATATTTTCTATTTTTATCATGCTCCTTGGGGCTCCCAGTACAGGGATCAAGAGATTCCTAGTTGCAGACAGATTCTTTATGTGTTCTTGAGTTAAAGAGTTCTATTGTAAAGGGTAACTTTACAAACAGATAATTATTGGGCACCTGTTGGGGCAAGGCAAAGTTCTAGATGCTAACAGTGAAAAAGACAGCTGAGGTTTCCTGCGTCCACGGGTTTACATTCTCCACTGTCTTTCACCATCCGCGATCAAGGAAATAATAAACAAGTCAACTAATAAGTGAAGAACTATAATTTCCAAAGGTAAGAAGTGCTGTGAAAACAGTACAGTGGGATGAAGCAGAGAGACTTCAGGAGCCAAGTTAGATGTGTTCCTCAGGGAAAGCCCCTCTGAGGAGGTGCCATTTGAGCTAACTGGATGGGAAGGAACCAGCTCTGGAACGTGAGGGAAGAGCATCCCAGCTGAGACAGGAGCCTGGGTAAAGGTGTGCAGTCAGGGGTGGACTTGATGTGCTCAGAAACAGAGGCCTCTGCGGCTAGATGTGCGTGTCCTTGAGAAGAGCAATCTTAGGGGAGAGGTGGGGGCAGGCGGCAGACTGTGGCAACATCCCTAGTTCTTTGGAATTGTTTTATGTTGAAGGGAAGCAGGTAAATGGGCTGGAAACTGGATGGGGGTCATCACGTTCAAGGGAGGAATCTGTTGTGGCGATGAGTTTGTGTGGTTTTTATGAAAGCAGGTTGGATGTTGATAGGGATGATTAGCACACGTTCCTATGTGAAAACCCACAATCCTGACCGTCCTGCCTTCTGCAGAAGGGCCAGGCAACTGACAAAGACCCCCACTTACTGCTCCTTCATTCCTGCTTGCTGCCTATGCCAGCAGACACTCAGGGAAGACTCTCAACCCCCAATTCGTGCTGACAGCACACCGTGTTGAGCTACAGTAGATATTGGGGTCATCTTGGGGTCCCAGTCTTTCCAGCCTGCTCTCTGCAGAGACTTTCCCAGCTGAATCCCATGATGTCTACATGTCCTTACCAACCTGGTCAATCCCAGGAACTCAAGCCACCCAGTCCCTTTCCCAGATCTCACCCAACACAGCTGTGTACATCCGAACCTGGCTTAGGTCCTGCCCACATCTCCCAACCCTCCAAACCCTTCTACGTCGGCACACTGGAAATCAGTACAGCTCCTACTGCCTCAGTGACTTCCCCGCATGCTTTCTTCTCTCCTAACATAACTGAAGCCCATTCTCTCTGAGGACTCGCCACCCTCTCAGGTGGAGGTTATTTTATCTCCCGCATCCCCTAAACAGTGGGTCTTTGAGGTGAGATGGGGTTGTCTTGTTCCCATTGCTACTTCCACACCAATCTCCTCTCTCCTTCAGAGCCCCTAGCTATTAAGGACCTGGCCCTGACTCACTTCCTCTCCACAGGATGGACTGTCACAATCAGGGTGGCCTCCCAGTGTCTTGGCCCCCTTGACTCCCTCACTTTTCCCAGGCTCCCTCTCCCACAGTCCTACCCCCAGATCCTGCCATTACAAGAAACTGCCCCACCTCAGGAATCTGGATGGCAGGCACCCCACTCTCTGAGCTCCTATCTTTCCGGCTCTCTTATTCTCCAAAAATGCTATGTTCTCATTGAGACCTCCAATCCATTCTTTGACCCCACCATATTCTCCGCTGTCTTTCACCATCCTCGTTCATTATTCTCCTTCTCACCAGTTTAGATTCCATGACCCACCATTATCATTAGTCATCCCTTGCGCACTTAAGTCCACTGCCCCTCTCTCCATCCATTGTACTTGCCTGGCAAAATCCCAACAATGGTTAAACCCAACCACTGACTCACTCTGTGCTTGCACCAGACTCCACAAACACTGATGAAGAATGATATACCAAGGTGCTGCTCACTGCATGCACGTTAAACTCATGACCACAACACTGCCCAGGCATCCTAACAAAATGTCCTCATATGCTCATTTCTCCACTCCCTACGATTTCCTCATTGTCCTTAAACCTCCATTACTCCCCGCCCAAACTTTCAGCTTGTTTCACACTTCATTAAGACAGAGCTAATAGAAGAAATGGGTAGGAGGCTTGGTGTGGTGGCTCACCCCCGTAATCCCAACACTTTGGGAGGCCGAGGCAGGCAGATCACCTGAGGTCAGGAGTTCGAGACCAGTCTGGCCAACATGGTGAAACCCCCATCTCTACTAAAAATGCAAAAATTAGCTGAGCGTGGTGGCGCATGCCTGAATCCCAGCTACTTGGGAGGCTGAGGCAGAAGAATCACTTGAACCTGGGGAGCAGAGGTTGCAGTGAGCTGAGATGGTATCATTGCACTCCAGCCTGGGTGACAGAGTAAGACTCCATTTAAGAAAAGAAAATGGGTAGGAGGTAGAAATGCCATCCTTTTCCTGCCTGCATTTGTACTCACTTTCTTCTTTGCTGCTTGTTACAGTGGATGAAGTGTCCTCACTCATCAAGACCCATTCCTTCACTTGTGTTCTGGAACCTGTTGCCTGCTTCCTCCCTGTGGCTTTTGTTCCTGCAGTCCCCGCCTTGCCCCTCTAGTGCTAGAATCATAGTTTGTCCTCTCCACTGGACCATTCAAACATCCCCTGTAATCTAAAACAGGGATTAGCAAACTCTGTAAAGGGCCAGATAATAAACATTTCAGGCTTGATGGGCCATATGGTCTCTGTTGATCAGCATTGTGGTGGTAGCAGGAAAGCAGCTTCCGATCATATCTAAATGAATGGGTATGGCTCCGATCCAATAAGACTTTATTTACAAAACAGGTAGCATGAGAATGAATCTGTTCCATGAGCCATAGTTTGCCTAATCAAGAATAGTATACAGCCTCTTACTGGGTTAAACAAAATCATGTGCTCTGTCAATAAAATTATGATGGAAGCTGGGTGCAGTAGCTCACACCTGTAATCCCAGCACTTTGGGAGGCCAAGGTGGCAGATTGCTTGAGCCCAGGACTTGAAGACCAACCTGGGCAACATAGTGAGACCATGCCTCTATAGACAATAAAAAAAAATTAGCCAGGTGTGGTGCCTTGTGCCTGTGGTCCCAGCTACTCAGAAGGCTGAGGTGGGAGGATCACTTGAGCCCAGGAGGTCAAGACTTCAGTGAGCCAGATAGCTGGCAGGGAGAAAGGTGAGAATGTGCGGAGCCCAGGGTGATTTTTGAAGGGAATGGTTACGTTTTTATTTTCTCGGATGTTTTGTGCCTGTCCATGAGTTATTTTAGATATAAATGGCGAAATATAGGAGACAGCCGCATCCTATTTTTATTATTGGCTGTTTAATTTTTTCCATTATTTCTTTTAAAAAACACTTGAGTATTTCTTTCCAAAATCGGTGGAGATTCCACTGTCTCTCGTGGTGATTGTAACACCTGGATTAAGGGTTGGACTCCAGATGAGATCTGTGACTATTGGGTCTCCTGAGATAGGGTGAGGGGTGTGTGTGTGTGTGTGTGTGTGTGTGAGAGAGAGAGAGAGTGGGAGAGAGGATGTGTGCACATGTGCAGGGGGTGCTCTGGAAGGCTGAGGAGTTCAGATGAAGGAAGTGAAGGAAGCACTTTCCAGAACCCAAGAAATTGTAATGATGCCTCACATCCAGTTTTCTCACCCAAATAAAACAGCCTTCATTTTTAGTCCATAACAACAGTCTGCATGTAATAGTTAATGCAAGTGTGCCTTTAAAAACATTATCATATACTCTAGATAGCTCTCTTTTACTTAGTCATTTCAGAGCACAGATTAGAAAGAGCTTCACTGAAGTCCCTTTGTTTGGGTATGTTCTCTGCTTGGTGAAACCACGGCCACTATGAATAGGACCCTGTTTGCTGCCTCTTGTCACTCTCCAATGGTTTCTCCAGGGCTAAGACATTATTGTAGAGAGTTGACATGTCTTCTCTTTTTCTGTGATGTCTCAACCTGCTGAGAGCAATTGGTGCAGGTACCCCAGGGCCTGAGCTAGTCCAAGATCCGTCTCATCTCTAAGTAGTTAACCTGGGGTCCTCTGCCCTCTGCCTTGCAGGGGTAGCCAGTGTCAACACTCTTTCTGCCCTACTGTGCCTGGCCACTGGGATTATAACTGATTTCTCTTCTTTATCTTATCCCTTCTGGAATAACTAAAAGATTTCAAAAAGAATTCAAAACCGAGACACAATAAACACACACAAAAAGTGTGGCACTTACAATTTTAGATTATTAAGATTATTAGATTGTTGAGCCTCTGTGTGGCCAAAGGCCTGTAGAGAGGGCTTTGGAGGGACCACAGGGGGTCAGGAGCCAGAGGGGACAGTTACTCAACCCAGGAGACAGGAGGTCAAACCTAAGGGAGAAGAAAAGCCAAGGATGATGCTAGAAAAAAAAAGAACAGAAACAGAAGGGAGCCTGGGAGGGGCCCGCACTAAGGAGTCCAGAAGCAGATATCAAAATCAGAGCTTCAGTGGGGCTTAAGGAGCTAGAAGTAAAACTAAAACATCTCAATCTTTAGCATCTTGCAAAAGGTAAACCTGGCTGGCACAGTTTTGGGGAGTACAGTGCTTTTCCTTGGCTTCAGGGTCCCCCCTTTCCCAACTCCTTTGACCTTCAGACATGGATTGCAGAATCAATGTTCATTGATTATGGTGCTTTTATTGGGACACAGCACAGACATGCACAATTCAGCCAGCTCTCCCCTGACTGTGGTGGTGGCTTTGTCCATTTGGGTTGCTATAATGAAATGCCTTAAACTGGGTGGCTCATAAACAACGGAAATGTATTTCCCACAGTTCTGGAGACTGGGAAGTCTGAGATCAAGGAACCAGCAGATTTGATGTCTGGTGAGGGCCTGTTTCTGCATCATAGATGGTACTTCATATGGTGGGGGGACAAGGCAGCCTCTTTTATGAGGCTCCCCCTTCAGGACCTAATAAAGCCCCAAAGTCCCCACCTTCTTACACCATCACATGTTAAATTTCAACATATTAATGTGAGGGAGACACAAACATTCAGACATAGCCGGTTGGCAAGGGCTGAATCCCCCTTGCAGCATAGCCCAGGGGATTGAGAACATTTGGAAAGGGAGAACTAGAGTGAACAAGCCATGTTCAAGGGTGAGCGAGTGCCCATAAGCCACAATCCCGGGAGTAGGAGGATGGCAGTGGACAGGCACACAGACAGGTCTTTCTGGTGATGATGTGATACTCAAAGCCATTGGAAGGATGGCCATGTGTTCTGAAAACAGATCATCAGGGAGACAAGAGAAAGAACTCTTCCACTCAGACATACCAGATACCTCTTGCCTACCCAATTATGGCCAATATTTAGGGGCCAGGAGTTATGATTCAGAGTCAGGTTTTTTGGTGGTGGTGTTGTTTTTGTTTTGTTTTGTTTTTTGTGGGGGAGAAGTCATGGTGATTTTGAACCTTGGAGGAAAAGAATAAAGCCATTATGGAGAAAGTTGAGTGTATGAGTGGATTATAAGCCTGCAGGGTGGCCTGGTGCGGGCTGTCACCCACTTAATTAGAGTAACAGATTGCTCATACCTCAAATATCCTCTGAGTAGGAAAGGAAGGAGCAAAAATGGAATGAGAATAACAATGTTGATGATAAAGAATTAGCTGATATCAGATGTTTTCTCCTCGGTTTCTGCTTGCCCAGGTCTGACTGGTGCAGCTTATAATTAGTCTCTGCTTGCAGATATGTGGTTCCAAAGACTTGTGGATTAAAGACAAACTCTAGAATTTCTCAGTACCTGACAAGTTGTAACGTGAAAAGCTACACTTAGTCCATTAAAGATTTTTCACAGTGACATTTGAGTGCAGCTTGAGAAATATGCCACCTTGCCAATTATCATTTTCAGGGCACGGGTATCGGAAAGGAGTTTGCTATGAAGAACAAAACAAAATGGATTGCATGTGTAGAGGTGAGCTGGTGAATACTGATAAATGTACTTCACTGAATGTCAGCAAATGTCACTTGAGAAGCCATTTGCAACTACCATAACAGCCTCCCAAACCCAACAAAGAGTAGCAAGAACGGGTAAAATGAACTGGGCGTCTTGCTTCCACATGAATAAGCAATCAGCCCTCTCAGAAGTTACACCGGAAAGTTGTTAAACTTGATAGAAGAAGGTTTTTCAGCCATACTGACGCACAATATAGGTTACTACAGAGGCTGGAGACTTTCTGAGGACGTCAGCGCTGTGACTCTGGGAAGGACTTAATAACCCCTTCTCTTCCAGGTAGGTGCCTTCCTTTAGTACGTGCAGCCACTGGCTGTCTCTGAGACATACTTTCTGGGTTTTTCCTGCTCCAGCTTGCTGCTTTTGCTGTTTCTGCAGACCCCTCTATGCCCCACCCACTCCTAACCTAGCCTCCCTTGCAGTGTAATCCGGGAATGGCTGCAGCTGTGAGCTGGGATGCGGTCCTCACACGCCATATCAGGAGAAGACCCAACGGAAGCAACCTTGAGCCAAGTTTTCAGTCTCTCACTCAAGAAAGAATTTTCAATGTGTCTTCTGGTTAATGTGAAAATTGAAGTAATGGACTCAGCTTCTGGTTCATTCTTGGTGACCTAGCCAAAACTTGCCCTCTGTGTGATTTAGGATTTCTGGAAGGTGGGGCCAAGTGATCTTCAGAATTCAGCTTGGGCTGAGATGTTCCCTTCTTCCTCCTCAGCCTGGTGAGTCTCCAGACTTTGCTGCAGAGAAGTAAATGGGAAAGAAGATCATATTCTCAGAAAAGCACTCCAGGGAATGTGAGACTAATTAAAATAAAATTCCAGCCCCCTCTTCATTTTCTAATCTCTGGGGGCTCCTCCTCCTCTTTAATACATACGAGGTCATCCAATACTTTTTTTCCTCCTTTATACCAAGACAGTTTAACAGGGTAGCCTTAATTTATCTGGCCTTGTAAAGATACCACACACACACACACACACACACCATTGAGGTCAGTTCAGTCTTCATTGGTGCAATGCTGTGGTGTATGGCTCAGACACAAGAAGCCCTTTGTTGAATGTACATCCCAGACTCTGTCCCCGAATGTGCTAATGGACACACTTCCCTCTTCACACTGTTCTGCCGTATGTTTAGCCTGTGTACATTGGAAATGAACACATCTTACAACCAGGAAAAGATGGGCTCTTGGGAAAGCGAGCTTCCCTCAGATGAACTCGGGGGGATGGTGCAGGAAGGAGGGGTTGGAAGCTAGCTTTTCTTCAGCCACACTCCTTGCAGAGTTCTTCATAATTCTGGGTGTTTCCTCCTTATGAATTAGGTGCTTCCCATGGAAGGGACTTTACTTGGGTCTCGGGAACTCACAAGCCATCTGCTTATTATTGAAATTGAATTGCCTTCAACTTGTTGACTTTTATATCAACAAGGATCCATAATATAGGCTGGCTATACTTTACTCAGTTAAGGCATTTCCTGAAGAGCAAATCTCTGCTGTGTCCCAGTGTGGATTTCATGTCCCAGACCCCAAAACCTACTAAAGCATAAAAGCATGTTCCAAAGAAAAGACAATATGGGTGCAGATTTCTCATCGTGCCAGTATTCTTTATTTTCCTAGTTGCTGTAATTTTAAAATTTGTATCTTAAAGCTCAAGCTAATAAGCATCTGTTCCCTGGAGTGAAAAGAAACTGTTCATAATTGATTAATATCACAGGAATCCTGTAATTGCTGGAGGCTAGAGCTATGTAAAAACCTACCTTCTTATTGTTTTGTCTTTAAAGAACTAAAACAAAAGCCTTGTCTATAGACAAGGGTAGCCAATATTGTCTCTGTCTTTCAGTGAGAAAAAGCAAAGCTGGTTTGGGTGAGCTACTTTACCCACTAATTAGTGGCAGTAGCAGGTTTCCTTGTTTTTAATCCAGCGGCTGTTTACAGTGGACTCTTCTCTGCTCTATGAATAAAAACCTAACAAGCCCCCTTTAACCATTTTGCATTCTGGGATGTTTCAAACAAAATGTTAAATTGCTACCACAAGAGGAAGATTTGTTAAAAATACAAAACTCCTTAGAATTGCAGTAATCCCCTCACTTTTGTAAGAATGTAAACAGGACATCAGTTTAGGGGACATTTGCCCATGGAAAAGTCTCCTCTGAGCAAGAAACTTCACCCACTGCAAGGTAGCAATGAGCATCATTTAATTGGCTCCAGACATTCCCAATCTCAAACTGAGCTCCCCTGTCCTTGAAAGACTGGAAAGATACAATAGTAAAAAGGGAGACAAATAAGCAAATTTCAGGTTAACTCTGCAGGCAGGCCATCCTAATGAGAAATGGTCAGAGGAATTTATTATCAGGCTTCCACATAACTTCACTCACGTATTCATTCGTTCAAGTAGGCACTTTTAAATGCCTATGTCAGACCTGACATAATGTCTTACCTGGATAGCAATTTTACTTAAAAGTCATACTTCTTGCCATCTGGAATCACATTCAATCTTTATGGCTCAGCTCAAACTCCATCTTTTCCAGGAAGCCTGCTAAGATTTCTCCCATGCTTCCCTGTGTGCTCCCAACCAAGGACACCCATAAAACAGCATTCTTCTGTGCTGTCCTGAACTGGGTACATCTTTCTCCCCAACAAGTGTTAGTTCCCTGAAAAAAGGGTCTCGATCTTATCTCTGCATCGTTGAGATAGTCTTTCCTAATCTGCTCTTTAAAATGAGATTTAAGGCAGTGAAAGCTGGATTGTCTCTCACTCACATTGAGATCTAAACCACTTTGGTGTGAATATATGGGAAGCAGCCTTCTCCTCCTTGGCTACTGACAGTGTCTAGATTTGGCATTCAATGAAGGTTGTACCAACGATATAGGCTGGGGAAAAAGTGGATGGGTCCATCAGGATAATCTGGGTGCCATGCAGGCAACATCAGACTGGTTAATTTGGAGGAAGAGGAGCTGAATTATCCAACCAATGGTGTAGATGCAGCCTTTGCTGGCAAAGCTCTTTCCCCCACCTCTGTATCAAATATGCTTCAGAGATTTGGGAGTTGACACTGCATCCAGATATAGTGGGATAGAAATGGAGAACATTCACATTTTGTTCTACAGTTGCCAGCCTTGAGGCATCCTGGCTTCTTTCTTACTGCATTAACTTATACTATTTCCCAGTGGAAAAGGTTTGCTGTAAGAATTATTATAATTTCCCTCTCTTATTTCTGCCCAGCTAGTCACAGGGGAAAGAATACCTAGCCTTACCAACCCCACACAGCCAATTTTGCTACTGAAATATAAGATTTTGCATGAGATCTGCATATGTTAATGACTTTTGATGAAGAGATTTTCTTTTTTAAATCAGAGATTCAGAATTCCTTTCCTTCCTTGTGATACCTATTATTTTCATGTGGCCCTTTCAGGGAAGAATTTTTCTTAAAAAAATTTCAATCTTTTAACACAAAGAGTCCCCTAGGCAGGCAGAATACATCCTGTCAGAGCCAAGTGTCAGGCCAGAAGAACCTGTGCTTTGAGTCACTTGACAAATACACAGAGTTTAACAAGTTCTACTTTTTCCCTTAAAAATACACAAAACTCACTTAATGTAATTTATAATAACCCTTTCTTACCATTTCAAATATTTTATTTCAGTTCCTTAAAATTTGTTTCCCTGCCCAATTAGGGGGAAAATTTTGCTTCCGTTTTAAGAAGAAAAATATATTTAAAGTTTCTAAAAGTAAGGATGGCTGAAACGTTTCCCCTCTTGAACTGTCATTCAGAAAAAATATATTTCTATATTCATTTACTTCTGATGTGAGAACAGAAATACCACCTTTGCTCAAAGAAAGTTTTTTGAAATGATACAAATCGATGTGTGCTTGTTTCTAGAATTGATACCCATGTATTCACTGTAGCGGTGGGAATTCCTGCTAGGGGAATCCACATTTCCAGAAGTACTCCCACCTTGGGAGCATTTAAGGAAATTTTAATATCCAAACAAAAGCAGTATTATCATCACTACCCACTCCCTCCCTTCGAGGAAAAACAATTAATAATTTGCATATGTTCATAACACAAATTATAAGACAAAGGGCCCCTCACAGGCTGTGGGCAATACACAGCCTTCCACAGGCTGCACAGTCCCAGAGCTGAACTGTTCTAGCTTCCGAATGAATAGCATTAAGCAGCACCACTAAAGCGAGGGGTTCTGGGCCCTCTGGCCCATTCCCACTGTAGAATCGAGTGTCTTCAATCAGAAACATCTCCCAATCTTTCCGTAAGCTTTGGTGGGGGGGGGGGGGCGTGGAGGGAAGAACATATAGGTCCAAGTGGGGAAAAATACCTATATACTTTGCTCTTTTTATTTTAATAGCCAAACATTGTAATGCTAGCTAAACAGAAATTCTTGTCTGTTAATAGGTTCCTTTAGTTTGTAATAAATAGGAATGCTAATGACTAAAATTTGGTATTTGGTATGCACAAGCTTTTGTGAGCTTTTTTTTACACTCCTCATTGACATGCAATATGGCAAGCTTCCTTTGAAATATATTTATAAAATAACTACAGTATAATTAAACCAACAAAGCCATCTTTTAAGTAAGCTTAATAGCTCAGGTTTTTTTTTTTCTCACTTCGGTAAAATTTATTTTAAAAAAGAAAAATAGTTATGTCTCAGTCCCACTATATATTTTATTCTGTGCATCTAATATTTCCTTTGCATCTACAATCTATGCATATCTAATTCTTTTTGACAACTATGATTATTAATAAAGTACTTGTGAAAGATATGCTTCATAGCTTCTTCAACAAGAATAATGTTTTTTTGTTAATGGAAATTGTAACATATCTTGACAGATACAATATATAAGATGTGCTTTTTTCTTAATTGTTAATATTGCTGTGCTGAATACACAAGGAGTAGATCAACAGCGATGGCAGGTAATAATCAGAGTGGATGCCATTTCATACAATGTAACTAAAAATATTTTAATGATATGAAAGCAATAGATAAATAAAAGCAATTATGTTTAATTTTGCTTTTGGTATGCCGGCAATTTTTGGTTGTTGCTGCTGTTGCCAGTGCGCTTAGAAGAGGAGGAAGCTCGAAGCGCAAAGCAGCCGGACCGAGGCAGCTCTGCCTTCTTGCAGCCCAAGGGTCCTGCAAGCCGCCCTTTCTCTACTCTCCGCAGCTTCAGCGATCCAGGCGCGCAAGGCCCGGCTGAATGCTAATTTGGGATACACAGGAGCTCAAGTTCACCAAGTTTTCCGCAGTTTTGCAAATCCTTTTCCTCCTCGCCCTGCCTGGCGGTTTAAGACCACGCCATTTCCCAGAAAGAAAAACTCAAAAGATCCCAGGCGCCGGGCTGAAGTCACTTAGAGTCGACTCTGGCTGCTCCTCCGCCTCCCCGATCCCTGGTCGCTGCTCGGCTCTGCCCCTCGCGCCTCGCCCCCTTCTCCCGAAACTCCGTCCTCTCCGCGGAGGGGCTGCCTTGCCCCCAGCCCACCCTCCGCGTGGAGAATAAACACAATTGACATCACTCTTACAATCTTTATTTAAAACTGTTTCCAAGGTTACAAATTGCCGAGCCTCGAAGCAACAGGTTCCTCCGAAGCGGTATCATTACAGATTAACTGTAATGTGTAGGATTAGAATAAAAGCATAAGGGATTAGGTAAAAGGGCGACGCTTGAGACAGAACGCCCGAGCGCATCTCGACTGAGTCAGCCGGGGGAGACTGCGAAGGCGCAGGGTGTCGTGGTGCTGCGGCGCCGCCAAGCCAGACTCGGTTCCTCCGCTCCCGGCCCCGGAGCGGTCAGGACGTCGGCGCCGGAAGGGCCAATGAGGCCGACGGTTTTGGAGCCAGGCTTCCCGGACGCCAGGGGCTAGGGACGGGGCCCGGGAACTGAGGAAGATGAGGGGCCGAGAGGTCGTGGAGGCGGAGGGCGCGGGCGAGGACGGCCCAGCTGGGAGCTGCGGGAGGCGCCGCGCCGGGGACGCGGTCTCCGGCGGTGCGAAGCTCGGGGAAGGCGGCGAGGGGGCCCGCACACTCGCACCGGACATCGGGTTTGTCCTTGCGGCTGACGCTGCCTTCAAGGCCCAGGCCTGATGGGGCCCTTCCTGGCGTCCTCCTCACCCCCACTCCGCCGCGCCTCCCCTGTCCGGCTGGGGCTGGGGGCCGGGGACCGCGGCAGGGCACGGGCAGCAGCGCAGGCCGCCCGCATCCTTCCGAGCCCAGGCTTCGGGCCTTCGCAGCCCGCCCAGGCCGTGCGCCCTATTGGGCCACCTTCCCACCGGCATTCGCCTGCCCCTCTCGCGCCAGGAAGGCCCTGGAGCTCCCTCTCCCCTCACACCACTTCCTGCGGGGCCAGGGCTGGCCGTGCTGCCCCATTTGGACTCAGGCCTGCCCTGGGCCACGGCCTCGGGCCGCTGACGCAGCCCCGAGGGCTGTTTGCGTGTCGGGGTGGAGGGCGCGGGGCTGGAAAAACAAACAGGGCCGGGGCGCGGAGCCTCGGGTGGGGCAGCGGGGGGGCTGGAAGGAAGTGCGCAGTGTGGCCAGAGCGCAAACAAAGCCCTCTCGGGAGCCCCGTCACCCCTCGGTGACCCCAGGCCCGCCCTGCTGAGCCGCGGGGCTCCCGGGCCTCGCCTCCGAGCAGGCCGCACCGCTCTGCGGGCGCACGCCAGGCCTCCGCGGCCGCCCGGGCCCGTGCTCCCCCGCGTCCCCGCCGGCCGAGCCCGCGGCCCGCCCCGAAGGCGCGAGGGACAGCGAGGCTGGCGGTGGAGCCTCACTCAGCCACGGAGCCCACAGAGAGAGGCTGAGGAGGACTCCAGGCTGCTGTCCGTCAGGAAACCGGGCGACTCTGGGGCGCGCTGGAGCCACAACTCTGCCAGCGGCCGGGGAGGGGCCGAGAGGACTTCCAAGTGGACGGAAGTGGCCGACCAACTTCGCCGCGACGCCTGCTTCCTACAGAAGGGCCTTTGCTGAGGCGGCGGGAGGGGACTGTTGCAAACAGCTGTTCCTCATACATATTTCATTACACAATCAGATAATGCGTCCCACCACCTTCTCAATTATTCACAGATAAACATTTTCAAGACGTTTTGACATCTGTCTTAGTGCCTGCTATTAATTTAGTAATCACTGTAGTTAAAAATGTATGGGATTTTTGCCGTCGGAGCACCTCCTATCCGGCGCGCGGGCCCAGTGTGGGACTGCGGCTGGGAGCCCGGGCCCTCCGGAAGTGGAGACGCCTTTGGAGGTGAGACGGCCTCTCTAGCGCGTTGACACTGTTGATGGAAGGGATTAAAGGGGTATCGGGTTATTTTAATTTATTGTTGAAGATGATGACTGTCCCCTCCCCCACCCGCATAACCTCCTCACTTTCCCACCCCAGCCGTGGACCCGACAACACCTTTCAGCCCTTTGCCCCGGGCAGCGGAAATAGTTAGCTTCGTCTAGGAGTTTCTGCTCAGGAAGACGCAGGCAACCCTAGTCGGCGTAGAGAGAGAACCGCACGCAATCACTGAGCACGAGTTCTCCCAACAAAAATACTAGCAGTAACAGCGATCCACACACTCAAGAGGTCTCCAGCCTCCGAAGTTTTGCCCTGAGCCTGTGGCCCTGGCAGAGGTGACAAGGGCATTTGGGAAAGACAGAAATAAATTCGCTCCAGTGACTGTACACGGGGCATTTGGGGCTATGAGAAAGCGAGCTGCTTTTCTGCTTGAGTGGTAAATGTTGCAACGGGCATAGCTATGTGGACGCAAACCGTTTTTAAAACCAAAGAAGCAGACTTGGAAGAACCTTGTATGGTTGAAAATAATAGCCAACATTTCCAACTTCAAAATGCTGGTATGAATTATTGGGAAAGCTCTAGATAAATGACCAAAACAGAGGGAAAATACTCAAAGGTAAACGAGTTTGGTTTTTTGTGCTCTGAATCTCAGCTACCGGGAATGAAAGTTACACTTTGAGTTTGAGAGTGATGTCTATTTATTTCTCTTCCTTTCTGTCGCAGTCTCTTTCCCAGGTGAGTTAGCAGGTGGACTTTGATTTTTAAAACTATCTCATTTGGGAACGAGGAAAAACAAATCTGGTGAAAGAAAATGTCCCTGGAAGAAACTGCCCTTCCAACGAAGATTAAGTGACTCCAAAGTGATTTTCACTCTTTATTGTTCAAAACGTCCACAAGAACAAACTCGCTAAAATTTCCAGGAATTAACTGTATCTAAAAAAGAAAAGGACATAGTGTTTGCCCCCAAAAGAGAAGAAATTCTTTCCAACTCACACCCCCATACTCTTCTGTTTCTAGGGCAACTACATCTGCAAAAACATGTCCTCCTGTGGCGTTTTCCGGGTGGTTCATTTCTTCTTCACAAAATGGACCCTCCTCTGCCCCTTGGAGGGTGGTCATCCGACTTGCTGGCCCAGAAAGTCCTTTTTTCCTCCTTCTTTGTCTAGATGAATCTTCTTGGACTTACACTCCACTTTTAGATGAGAGAGGGAGGCTCAGAAGATGTGCTCAAAAGAGAGAAAGTTGGGAAGGGAGGTGAAGTGGAAGGGAGAGCACCCCTGCTCTAGGGAGCCTGCCTCTTCTACAGGAAACCTGGAGGTAGCCACTAGAACTGGTTAGGCAGAGGGAGCTCACACTAAAGTCAAGCCTGCTTAGAGTAGTTTCTGAGGACTGGCCCAAGAGCCCCTCTGGAAACCCCTCTCTGCAACCCTCCAGCTCCACTGGGAAAACGTGCTCAGCCACAGACAGGGGAACTGGGGGTGAGAACTTCCCAATATATCACACACACACACAAATGTAAATAAACTGTGTAATTTGGTTTACTTTGAAGTGTGTTCTTTTGTAAACATATTTGACATACAGGATATTGGGATGGAGATGGGGGCAGGAGGACGAGCATCCTTTTGAATGATCAAGTTTAGGATAAGAAGGGTGCAAGGGGCAAAATAAGGGTCCTCCACCTTCCCAGGCCACGGTTAGAGCTAAATGTTCCCATAAAGAATTCATAATTCTCTATGGGAACTACTGAATCTCCCAGTAGTGAGTGAGAACTTGTATGCACTCCACCCAAATCCTCCTTCAGAATGCAATTCCCTAAGTCAAAAATCATAAGAAGTAAACAATAAAAACAATCTCGATCAAAATGAATCATTCCCGGATGGCCCTTTTCTGGGTATCTCCAACAGAACTGAGAGGAAGGCAAAAAGTTTGCCTCTGGGTGGATGAGGCCTTGGTTCTTTCTAGTGGCCAGGACTTGACCTGAAACCTTTCATTCACCCAGTCGGCTCAACCAAGTTTCTCCTTCTGAGCCAACGTCCCTCTAGCAGGAAGCCCCCTTGGCCTTGAGGCCGGGTCCTCATTCGACGGGCTCTCCCCGGTCGCGGCTTCCTATCTATCTGCCCATGTGGTTGGGGTCACTTCTCGCGGGCACTGTGACTTTCGTCTGCGTCTGGACAACTGAATGTACACCAGTGAGTTCAAATAATTATGTCCGTGGACACTTTATTCCTCAAATTCCTCTGTTAGTGTTCCTTTAATTCTCCCGTATGTATTCGAAAACGATTGCCTGTACGTTCCATGCATAGTCAGGTGACTCAGCTTGAGTCTGAGCTCAAATGTGCGCGACCCCCTGGATCTGCATGGGGAGGAGGAGAAGGTGTGCACGTGCAAACGCGGGACTTTGGGTGGAGTGTGAGGTTGATATGGCTTTCGGCCCCAGGGCGCTCTAGGCCTCTTTGAAATACCTTCATCAGCCCAATTTCTTAATCTTTCCGGACAAGGAGCGGGACCCTCCGCGATCCTGCGCCCCACCATTCTTTGGGAAAGATAGGACCATCCTCTAGGACCTCTCCTGGTGAACTGTGGCTAGGCTGGGCTGAATGGGCGGTCGGAGGTTTCGATGTCGCCTCCTGGCTCTCGACTGCACCCATCACCCAAGACACCTCGAGGTTGAACGCGCCCTGGGGCTCTGTCCGGGGAGGTCGTGGCGTCTCGGGGCGAGTGGTATGCACGTTTTGGGGCAAAACTCTCCTAGGCCTCCCAGGAGCAGCTGTATTTGTAACTTGGAATTGGCCTGGGCCCGCCTCCCTTGGCCCCTCCTCCAGCCCCTACTGCAACTCGCAGCGCTCAGCGGGCCGCCAGAGCTCGCGTCCCGGACCACACTGGGGCCTCGTCATCCTTCAGGGTCCCTGGGGCATCCTAGGGGCCTGAACCTGGAAGAATGGGGGCCAACAAGACTGGCCAAAAATTTCCTGGGGCGGTTTTGCGATGTATTCCTCAGCCACAATTAGCGTTTCGGTCCCGCGCGCCTACCTGTTTCAGAGGCCAGCGGGAACGCTGGCCTCAGGTCTGTGGGGGTGAGGCTTGTGGTGTGTGTGCACGTGTTCGCGTGCGACTGGAAGCGTTTCCTTGTGCATTCCTAGAATCTTGTAGATGTGTTTTCTCGTTAGAATGATGCGGACTTGCTGCTAACTTCAGGTCAGTTTGTTTGGAAAGGGAGACTGTCAGTCCGACGGTCGGTGGTTGCGTCTTTCCTGAGCATTCTCACAAAGTGAAGCCGCCTCCCCTCCCCCGTGCACTCTCCCAGACTGGTTCAAAGGACCCAGGCCCCAGGTCCCCGAGGCCTGGAGGGCTGACGCCCTGGTTGTGAGCCCTGGTGCTCTGATTCTAAGGCCCAAGCTGCCCCGATGCCCACTAAGGGTCAGGTTGGAAAACCTACGTAGGAAAGAGGGACCTGGAGAGCTACCCCCACATCCATGGCAGGGTGGAGTCCCGACCTTGGCATATTGTACCTACCCACTTGGCATCTTCCTGCCGACCCTGTCTGGGATCCGTATTGGCAGTGACGGGGGAGGGAGGAATGGTGAGGGAGTTGGGTCGGTATAGGACGGAAGTGAAGATGGAAAGAGAAGAAAAGAAACAAAACTGGCTAGGGACAAGGAGATGGGTGAGGCTGGGGTTACGATGGAATTGAAGCTGCCTCGGAGAGCAGCGGCTTTTCACCCTGCTATAGGGAGGTGCGTTTGGCTGCGCTGTTCTCCCCCCCCCAACTCCCGCCAAATAAAGCTAATGATGTAGTAATTTAGGAGGGGGAGAGGGGCTGGGCAAAAGGAGAGAGGAGAGGGGATGGGGAAACGTGCGCCCCAAGAGCGAAAGCAAACAGCTGTCGAGGCGCTGCCCGCGGCTCAGGCTTCCCAACAGGTTAGCTATACTGGGATCCACCCGGCATTTCGCAGGAAGGGGGGGGGCAGACAGAGCGAGGGGGAGAGAGTCTCACTAGAGGACAGAGGGAGGGAGGGAAAGAGAGATAGGAGCCAGAGAGCGCACTGCGCGGCTTAAAAGGAGAGACTTACTAATGAATATTTATCCGCCGCTGCTTCCTGCTCCCGGCTTCCCTTACCTTTCCGCAGGTAAGATCCTCCCCGTGCCCCAGCCCCGGGGACCCTCCTAGCTCCCCAGTCGGGGAGCCAGTGGCTGCGCGGGAGGGCTCTCGGTAGGTGGGGGTGGGAGGGCGGCTCTACTGTGCATTCACTTTGGGTGCCCGGGCATGCGACCCTGCACGACTAGGAACGGCGTGCGTGGGCTCCCTGTGTGGAATGAGTGTGAGCATGTAAGAGTGTGTTTGTTTGTGTGTGTGAGAAAGAGACAGAGAGACTATGCACCGCAAGCGCGCGCGCGTTTCTGGCGTGCTCTGGGAACATTTTCCGACTTTTCACTCGGACGCCCTGGATTTCTCCCCTTTGCCTTTCTCTGTTTCCCCTCCCCCTTCTCTCGCCCTCCCCTCCCCCACCCCGATCTACCCCACCCTACCCCACTCCTACCCCGGCTGCTAAGGCGCTCTTCTGCCGGCTATTGTACGGCTGGCGCGGGCTCCCTCGGGCCGCATCCCGGGCCTCTCATAAAAGATGAATAGTTCTGTTTCCGCCGTAAACCCCCACACAAAGGCTGCCCGGCCACGGGGTCCCACGTCCGCCTTCCTGGGGACTTCGGCTTTTGAGGTGCTGCCGCGCCTTCTTCCTCCCTCCCCATCTCAGGGCGCCAGGGCCCAGACCAAAGAGCTAAGAGTGATCGAGACTTGGAATTACGGAGTGGAACTCCTTGGGGGCCGCCTGCCAGGACTCCTGGGCTGCAACCCCGAACCCAAAGACCCCCAGGGGAAGGGGGCCTCTTCCCATACCGCCACCTCCGCTGTCGCCTGGGGGAGGAGCACGGGGAACCCCGGCCAGCCAAGGGGGAAAGAGGGAGGAGAAAAAGGAAAAGGTCGGGGAGGGGCTGACCATATAAACAGAATTCTTTAAACGGACTTACCGGCCACCTGTTGAGAATTCCTCTGGGGTCGGCAGGCTCCGGAGTTGCGCAAGGTGGACACACAAAACCAAAAGCCAAAGTTGGAAAAAGAAAATTCTTTCTCTGACCATGCCAGACGCGGCCGGTCAGGCTCGCAGCTCTGCGCTCGGATCGGGCGGCTCTACAGCCAAGACCGACTTTGCCCTGTCCCCGGATGCCCCCCTCATCCCACGCCTCCGTGGGACTCTGGACTCAGAGCTCACGGACTCGGCGCTCAGGGCCCAGAACCAGCATCTCGGCTTAAGCCGGGGCAGGCTCGCTAAGCCCTGCTCAGAAGTCAAGAGCAGCAGCACTGCCGCTCCTTGCGGCCTTTCATGCCGCGGCCGCTCCTTATTCTTGTGTCTCGGCCTCTCCCAGCCCCCTCGGACAAAACCCCCAGAGCCCGGCCACTCTCTTCCCTCTAAATCCCCTTCGGGGTCAGTGCTCTACCAGCACTGGGCCGCGCGCCTCTCCTGCCAGCCGTGTGGCTCTTAAAGAGCCGCACCCCTCCTCCGCCCTGCGCGATCCCCCGACCCCCGCCTCCCCTCCCCTCTCCTCCCGATCTAGCCCCCCACGCCGACGCCTGAGGTCCCTGCTGCCCCGACCGTTGCCTGCGGACTCCCAGCCCCCTCCCCTCGCCTCCTCCCCTGAGCAGCCTGTGGGCCTGGCCTCGAGGCCACAGGGCTGAGTTCTACCCTCGCCTCAGGTCCCCTTTCTCACCAGCAGTGCCCACCCCTCCCTTCCCTGTCTTTACTTTAGCCCTCTAGGTGGATCAAGGCCCGGGCACCGCCTTTGCCCAGCTCAGAGGTGATGCCTAAAGATTGCCAGTTTCGGGTTGAGTTAGGGGTTATGGGATGGGAAATGGGGCAGGGCATGCTAGTGGAGCTAGGGAGACAGAAAGGAAGAGAAGCAAACCAGATGGACTTGGAGGGCTCTCTCAATCCCAGGGCCTACCTGGCCTTTTGGCTCCTTCCCACGACCTCCCAGAGATGCTTACCCTGGAATGGAGGCCTGAGGTTACCAACCTGACTAGGCCCACTGTGTGTCTCAGGGATTCTGGGCGTGTGTGTTGGCGGGTGGGGTCCAGAAAGTCCTGAATGTGGATCTGGCAGTAGCCTGCTTCCCAAGCCCATAGCATCAATTCCCCCCAAAAGTAACCCTTAAGGGCCAAAGAGCTGGGTATGCAAGGAGAGAGTGAGGGACCTTGAGCTCCAACCGTCCAGGGAAAAGGGCATCTGAGGACTGAAGCTGTTTCTAAGACAGTGTCTTATATTTACTGGCCAGCCATGTCAGCTGCCCCACTAAGAAAAGGTGAAGCAGATGACTGCTTTGGTTTCCCTTCCTTCCAGAACTCTGGCTTCTGCCTCTCTGCCGGGCTTGCCAGGCCAGTCTTGCAGGGTGGTCCTGCCTATAGCACTTCTTCAGGCCTCCCAGGGACTAGAAGCCAAAGAAGGGGTCCCTCTGCTGAGGGGGGAATGCAGGACAGGCTGTGGTCCCTGCCTTCCCTACTACCACCTGTCATAACCTGTGCCTGGGCTCTGTGGATAGTGGAGGCAATGATGGGTTAGGGAGGAGAGCTGCCCACCCTTTCTCAAATCCAAGTCCTGGCACACAAGGTCTGGCTGTTCAGAAGGGGATCCTTGGGAAGAAGTGTGTGGCCTCTGGGCAGAGGACACCAAGGGAACTTGAGGTGACAGGAGGATGGAAGGCTGATCCTCAGCCACCCCAACATTAGTCCAGATTCACCTTTAAGGAACTGGAGTGACTAATTGATTTGCAATTGGTCCTCTTGGGAGAGGTTGTCAGTGCACTCCCTGGGCTGGATCCTGAGGCAGCAAAAGCCTCTCCCTCCACCACCACCGCCCCCCCCCACCAGTCTGGCTCACATCTCCCAAGTCTCCAGCCCCTCTCTTGGGGCTGGGTCACCGAAGGCAGCTAGGCTGGGTTTGTGCCCACCCTCCTGGGCCTGGCAGTGGGAGGTGCTGTGGTTCAAGACAGAGCCAAACTTCCCTTGTTTGAGAATGTGGGGGGTGGAGGGGCCTTTAGCGGGCGGCGGGGCTCATTAGGCAGAGCAGGGTGCCGAGAGGTGCGCGCCTGCGGCCCCTGAGGCCGTCTTTGAGCCGTCGGGGCGGCTTCATTAAGCTGCGCTAACAAGGCGTACAAATGCCGGGCCCAGCAGCTTTCTTGCAATGCCCGGCCTTAGCAGGGCGCCGGACTAATGAGGGTCACTCAAAGGAGCTGATCAAATATTCAAATTTCCCCGCACGCCAGGAACTTTTATGCAGGGAGAAAGTTGAGGCAACTGAGCTGTGTTTACTGTCCAGGGCGACAATTGCTTGGAGCGCCAGTCCCCGGAGGCTAAGGCGGGGGGCGGGGGTGCGGGGAGAGAGCAGTTGTTGTTGTTGTTTTTCAATGGAAAGTAATCGGGGTCCTTGAAGGGTTTCGAGGCCTCCCCGCCTGCATGCTGCGCTCCCCTGCGCCCTCCCTGGCCGCCTGAGCCAAGCACCTCAGTTTGCAGCTTGCGGGGAGGCCCAGACTGTGGGCCACCCGGCCAGCCCCCGCCTCCGGACGTCCTGGGAGCCGGAAGGGGCGTTGCCCCCACACGGCAAACCTTCCCCGGGCCTCTTGGGTCTGCAGTTTAGAGCCTAGCGAGGCCAAGTAGGTGCAGCTGCCCCAGCCCTTCGGATCCTCCTCTCCCGGAGGCCTGCAGACCGGTTGGCTTTCCCTGTAACCCAAAACAAGAAAAGAGTGGGAGATCTCTCTGGCCTTCTCCAGATGTGGTTGAGACTTTCCCAATGCTGGGGTTGCAGCTGACATTTGTAAATAAATGTCTTGTGGGTCCGGATGCAAGGAGAATACTCTCTAAACCCCAAAGACGTCTCTTCTCCCTGCCCCACCTGAAGGAGATCTTTTCGGTCTCTGGGGCCAGGATTGAAGTGGGGACGATGGCAGCGAATTTGTTCTGCACAGGTGACTCGGCCTGTACTGGCACCAAGTCCCAGATCCCGCAGTCACAGCGGCCAGAGAGCAGAGACCTAGGGGCTCTGCAAACTGACCTATCCACTCGAGTCTCTCCGTTCTGAGCGACTCAGAGTGCAGGCGCCCTCCGCGCGCCACCTCCTCTAGCAGTCCCCCCAGGGTCCCTTCCCAGTCCTCTCACTGGACTTGCTTGGTTCCCAGAAAAGCGAGGAAGGCGACCTGGGCCCTGGAACCCAAGGTCCCTGAGCTCCTGCTCTCCTCCCCAGTGCCCAGCGCCTGGGAATTTGAGAGGGGAAGCTCTGGTGCTCCACAGCCCTGCTTCCTACCCAAACACACACTCAGAACCCCTCGACTGAGACCCTACGGAGCCTGCGCCCCTAGCCCGACCAGGAGCCAGTCCGGCCCTCCGCGCTGGGACCAGCCGCCCCGCCTCCCTGTGCTGCTCTCGGTTCTCTCAACTTACCGGCTCCAGACGGTGGAAGTAGATCTTCAGTCCAGAGCCGAGAGGCGCTAGCGACCGCTGGACTGCGAGGTGGGCTCGGTGGGCGGCGCCGAGCTCGGCTCTTCTGGAAGGCTTGGACAGCCGGGGGCTGCCACCCGCCCCACCCGGTCCCGGCGCACAAAGCTGCACGCCTCGCCGCAGCTCTGTGCCCTACTTCGCGCTCCGGAGCCTCGGCCGCCACCCGAGCAGGCAGGGTGTAGCAGGGTGGCTGGCGCTGGGGCAGAGGCTGGGAGGTGGGGGTGTCGCCAGAGTCTCAGCCCCACTTGCCTCAGTTCTCCCTGAGTGGCGATGGTTTTTGATTTCAGCGCTTTCGGCAGAGCCCGCAGCACCTGCGCAGCCTCCCTCCGGGGATGGGCCGGCAGCGGCTGGGAGAGGCCAGGTCGCCCCCACCCGGAGGCGGGGGTTGCGGGGATGGGGAGGGGACTGACCGGGTTCACCCGCCCGCCCGGCGCCTGGGTCCTTGGCTCCGGGGGATGCAGTTTCGGGGTCACGAGCTGCTTTCAAAAAGTTGAACACAATATTCGGAAACCCACCCGTAGGAATTCTCCCCCCACACGCGGTACAATACCCACTCCCCTCCCCTTTTTCATTCCTTCCTCCCCCGCTTCCTCCTCCTGCCCCTTCCCCCTCCCACCCTTCAGCCTATAATCCTTCCCCTACGAGAGAAAGGGATCGGGAAGAGAACGTGAAGTGTCTGTTTTTGTGTCCCAACCTTTGGGCTCTTTCTGGGCCCTTAGTGACCGACCACCCAGAGCTTCTCAGCTGAGTGGCGGACTCACGGCCAGGAGGGAAGGAAATATATATGGAGTGGATAGAGCACTCAAATGGGGCTGGGCAGATCTTCCCTTTGGAGGAATATTTTTCTGTTCCAGTCGTCGCGTTTGAGATCTGCTACCCCACGGCTGCCTCTGGCCAAGTGAGCCAGTGTGGGCCCTTCGCCGGATCCAGAGACTCCCTGCCACCCCGAAGCCTCCGAGGAGACTTGCACTTCCCGGCTTGCTCTTCTTCCCGGCCCTCAGAGGGCTGGCACTGCGGGAGTCAGGCCTAAGCAGGGCTCCGGCTCAGGGTTTAGGGGCTGGGACACTCGTAGCCCCAGTCACGTTGGGTTTCCCATTTAAATTCTCTCTCAACCTCTCTTTCTCTTTCCTCATTGAGATCACCAAAGTGGTGTAGACCCGGCGCCTTGCCCCCAGATCTGCATCGGAATGCAGAAAAGATCTTTAAAAAAAAAAAAAAAAGAGTTTTGAATTCCTCAATGATTTTTCTTCTGGAAAGGCAGCTTAGGATAATTATTTCAGCTTTATTGAGGGCAGATTAGTTGAAGTCTGGGCGCTGCGTTTCAATACGCGTTGTACACGGGCCGACAATGTGGTCATTGTTGGCTACTGTGTGTGAATCCATTCAACATATACACTTTTTAACACCAAACCGAGTCCTGTCTAAATATACACAGTGCTCAGGGAAAGACGTCTCTGACCCCGACAAATCTGCGTAAATCACACTTCCATAGTTACAGAAGCCTCACAAAGGGAGGCCGGCTCAAGATGCTGATTACATCTTCTTAAAAGCAACATACCTAAGAATAAATACCCACGCCTGGCCTGGGGGCTGTGGTAGCCAGAGGCAGAGAGGGCCCTCTGTGTTCTATGGGCCTTTTGGGGTCTGTTTTAGGCTTTCGATGTTACTTTCTCTAGAGAAATTAGACAGTTTTAGAATAATAATAGTAATTATTATTATTTTACAATACGAGCAAACAAGCAATTTTCAGGCGTTATCCACTTCATCTGGGTGGCTGGCCTCCAAAGTTTGAGTGCCCTCTGGGGCTGACAGGCAGGACCAGAGCTCCTTCTGTTGCGTGGTGAGGAATGGGCATCTGTGGGGCTTTTCCAGGTTCAGAGGGCTCTTGAGCTTCTTCGCTCCCGCAGCTCCTCCAGCACTCCTCAGAGAGGCAGCTGAATTCTGGGAGGAAACAAAGAGTTGAGTTGCTTCTTAAGATGGAAAGAAGTGTACTGTTTAGACTGTTATTTTAAAATACAGGGTGGTGGGGGCAATCCAGGCTTCTTGGCTGGAGAGGGAGTAAAGAGAAACCTAACTGATGAGGAGGGAGTTGAGGTGAATTTGGTCCATGGGCACAGATGGGTGAGGCAAGAGCGGCCTCCAGCACCCTGGGAACTGGGCTCAGGCTGCCTGGCGCCAGATGCCCCCGGAGTCCGGGATCCCTGGCTGGCGCCAAGGCCCGCTGGGCCAAGGTCGGTGTTTGGTGGGCCCCATGATCTCATCTCCCCTTTCTTCCTTGCCACTATTAGTGCTCACATAGGCAGAAAGAGGAGGCCCGACGTGCACACCATGTGCAAACCGTGCCCGCTGGGCTGGTCAGCCTTCTCTCCTTGCCTGCCGACCTGGCCTATGTGAAGCCTGGGAGACCCTCTTGCCTCCCAACAAAATCCCCGCTCTAATTGCACATCCCATTCAACAATTCTGTACCCAGGGCTTTTCGAATTTCTGGATCAACTTCTTTGAGGAAAAGGGAAGAAGAAGGCTCAGAGACAGCGGTAGAGAAAAGGGAAGAGAGAGGGAGAAGAGAAAAAAGAGAGAGGAGGGGGAAGTAGCGAGATTAAGAGTTGCAAAGATTGAAAAAAAAATTCTCTTCATTCCCCCCCCTTCTCCCTCCTTCCCCGCTCTCTCCCTCCCCCCGCCCTCTGGCTAAGTGGTAAAACCGTCCTTACGTTCTCGGTATTGATTGGCAGGGCTGACAGTGATTGGCAGTGGTTGCCGTGGCAACGCCACAACGACACGCCACAGACCAATAGAAAAGCGAAACAAAATGTTTCAATGCTGCACTCACTGTGGATTTAGGGGAGATATTATGAGGCTGTTGTCATTAGGGCGATTGCGGTGGAATCGCTGAATCTTGACTCGGCGGTGGTTGGCTCTCCCTCTCCTCTCTCCCTCACCCTCTCTGTCTCTGGTTCTCTCTCTGCGCGCGCGCACCGGGCTGCTCTCCTTCCTCCCTCTCTATGTGGCTGCGCGGGTGTGTGTGTGTGTGGATGTGTGTGGGGTGTGGGTGTCCCTTACGCCCTTCCTCCTCCCCCTCCTCCTCCTCCTGCTCCCCCCTCCTTTCCTTCTCCTCCTCCTCCCTCTCCTCTCCCTCCTCCTGGTCCTCATCGCCCCTCTCCTCCTCTTCCTCCCCTCTCTCTTCCTCTCCCTGAATTTTCTCCTCTTCTCTCAGGTCAGTCCATGGTATTCCGCTCCCCCCTAGACCTCTATTCCTCCCACTTCTTGTTGCCAAACTTCGCCGATTCTCACCACCGCTCCATACTTCTGGCGAGTAGCGGCGGCGGGAACTGTGCGGGAGGCGGCGGCGGCGCGGGAGGCGGCAGCGGCGGCGGGAACGTTGCGGGAGGCGGCGGTGCTGGCGGAGCAGGCGGCAGCGGCGGCGGCTCCAGGGCCCCCCCGGAAGAGTTGTCCATGTTCCAGCTGCCCACCCTCAACTTCTCGCCGGAGCAGGTGGCCAGCGTCTGTGAGACGCTGGAGGAGACGGGCGACATCGAGCGGCTGGGCCGCTTCCTTTGGTCGCTGCCCGTGGCCCCCGGGGCGTGCGAGGCCATCAACAAACACGAGTCGATCCTGCGCGCGCGCGCCGTGGTCGCCTTCCACACGGGCAACTTCCGCGACCTCTACCACATCTTGGAGAACCACAAGTTCACCAAGGAGTCTCACGGCAAGCTGCAGGCCATGTGGCTCGAGGCGCACTACCAGGAGGCCGAGAAGCTGCGCGGCCGCCCACTCGGCCCGGTGGACAAGTACCGCGTGCGCAAGAAGTTCCCGCTGCCGCGCACCATCTGGGACGGCGAGCAGAAGACGCATTGCTTCAAGGAGCGGACTCGGAGCCTGCTGCGGGAGTGGTACCTGCAGGACCCCTACCCCAACCCCAGCAAGAAACGCGAACTGGCGCAGGCCACCGGCCTCACTCCCACACAAGTAGGCAACTGGTTTAAGAATCGGCGGCAGCGCGACCGCGCCGCGGCGGCCAAGAACAGGTTAGTGGCGGGGCCCGCGGCCTGGCTACAGCCTCAGAGGCCGGGGAAGGGGAGAGGGGTTGAGATGGGGCTAGCGGAGTGGCCGATGAGAGCCAGAGAAGCCGTGACTCCCGGCCAGTTGGAGAAAGTTTCCGCTTGCCCGGGACGCGCGGAAGAGGGGGCGGGCAGGCTGTGGGTGTATTGGTTGCTTTGCCCAACAGGGGCTTTCGTCAGGGCGGAGAGTGTGTGCCTGCGACCCGAGTGCCCGCAGCCCCTGATCCAGGCCCCTGGGAGCCTTCGCCCTGAGCGGCACCCGTGCCTGCCTCCTCAGCCCTGCTGCCAGCTAGGCGATCCTCTGGAGCCTAGAGACAGGGAGGGAAGGAAAGCACTCCTTGACATCTGGTTCTTATTTCTGTGCATTGCAAAACCCCGAGAGAAATCCACGAGCATCAGGGAGAGGAAAGTGAGTCTGGGTCCGTATCACAAGGGAAAAAAGACGAAGGCCACTGCGCAGCGGGCCTCTTCCTCCCCCCACCCTCCACAATGCTGCACGTAGCCTGATCTGGAGCTGGAGAGCCGGGCTGGAGTGGAGAGGCCTAGTGTGTGTGTGCGTGTGCTTGTGTGCGCGCGTGTGCATGTACTGGCCCTCCTGCCCCAGCCGAGGAGAATCCCTTTGGTCCTCTAAGTTGGGAAGAGGGCAGGAGCAGCCTCCCTGCCGGCAAGTTGGCCACAAAGTCACAAAGTTGTGTAGGGCTTGACCATCACAGGAGCTGGGCCTGGGGGAAGGAGAAGAACCAGAGGGAAAGAAGGGGATAGAGGAAAGGATTGGGGAGAGAAGGGAGAAGGAAGAGAGGAAGCTGGGTGAAAGCCCTGGTGTGGAGCCTGTGTCTCTATCCAGCCAGGAAGGCCCAGGGCCTGGTGTACCTCAGGGAGCAGGGCCCCCAGCTGCTGACAGCTGCCCGTGGGTGGGGCCGGGTGTGAGTTTCTGGAGGTGCGTTTGAGTTTAGGCGGCCCAGACCTGAGCCCATGGCTCTCTCACCTCTGCCTTGGAACTCACTTTTCGTCTGATGAGGGAAGCGCCCAGGGTCAAGCCAAGGCCTCCTTCTGGAGAGCATTCCAGACACCAGGTCAAGGCAGAAGGTTCCCGGTGAGGGAAAGGGCAGCTGGAGACTGCTCAATGCTCCTCGCTTGCCTTCTCCTTTGCCCCTTTTCTGTCTCCCTGCCTTCCCCACTTTTCCACCGCCAGCTTTCCTATTTTCTCTACCCCCGGTCCTGCGCTCTGCGCTGGAATCTAGAGAGCAAAGCCTGCGGTTCTACCCGGAGACCGGCCGGGCAGTGAGGAACCCGCAGCTTCGGGTGTGTGTTTGAGGGAGCAGAGACAGGGTTACTGAGGGAACTCTATCGGTCCCAGGCCAGCCTGCTCAGTCTGAAGAGCCCCAGGGACTGTGGAGGGAAGAAGCGCCCGGCTTCTCTCCGACTTCTGCTTCTCCAGGGCTTGGCGTACTTTGCCGCTGACACCCAGGCCT